CCATATTCTTCATTACTGGAAACAAAGGGCTGGGTGGATCGACGTCGTAGAGTAATCAGGCCTCGGTAATGCAAGGGCCGGTACAATCTAATAAGGTGGCTGAGGGTGAACTCGAGCCCAGCTTTATCTGCAAAGTACCTTATCATCAACATTATCCTCTAAAACGATGGGTGAACCTGTGCCAGGGTAACCTGATATCTTCTACAAAACTCGAGCACGACCCTATCGAGAGGGCCCAATGTAAAGGGGTACGTGTATACGTTCAAAAAACCCTCGACATGGGTCATGATGCTCTCTTCCGAGGAAGGTAACTGCAGTACCGCGTTTTCTCCCCATCTGCAATCTCTCCAGACTGCCTCGAGATGTTCCTCCCTTATTGATGAGATGAACCTCGATGCATGCTCCCAATGGCCCCGAACATTGGGAGGTCTCTCTAATGTGAAGTCCCTCCTCGAGACAAAGCACCTCGAAGTTAGCTCACCGGACACCGGCGGTGTACCACCGACCGAGCGCGAAACAGAGGCGGAACTCTCCCCTCCTTGATGAACGGACTTGGACGTAGCAGCCATGGCTATGGTAAAATAAGAGAAGGAAGATAAAAACTTAGGCGAAAGCTTTGAATTAAAATGTTAAGAGAACTGGCGCAAGGAAGAAGAGCTCTATAAAAGGGATAGTTACTCAAAGTAACAGAATCCTCAGATAAGAAGAAAGCAAATACATATATAGGGCAAGCAGCGACTGTTCGCCTAATCTGAAGGCCAATTAATTCTGACCATGTTAGTGCCACTTTTGGGGAAGTGTACCGGTGGGACCACCCTGGTCACTTCGCAACCGTGTCATATGAATGACACCGTCATACAGCGCTCAGGAGCCATTGAGATCCCCAGGATCTCTGTTATTACAAGCATCGACTCCAAAAAAGCCATCGACCTAATCTCGAGATGGTGCCCGATCTCGAGGGTCCCGATTACTCCAAGTACGGGCTCCGAAGAGGCAACATCGAAATTCAAAGGCTAACTTCGCGTAAACGCTGAAATATAAAGTTCGAAGACTTGAAGCAGAAGAATCTTTTTACATTCCCAAAAATATATTTACAAGGGGTGTCTTTACAAAGCCCTTTCCCCCGAGAAATCCATATACAAAAAGAAAAGGGGAAGACAACGTGAGTCTATTCTTCACCTTCACTACTATCTGGATCATCTCCAGAACCCTCATCCGAAGTGGACGAAAATACTGATTCCTTCTCCAAGGTTCGGGCTTCCTCAATCTCAGCAGAGAGATCGGCACCTTTGGCACTTGCTTCCTCGAAAGCTTGCCTCCTAGCTTGCAAACGAGCATGAGCCAGCTTCTGCTCGGCCTTCTCGGATATCTCTCTGGCTCGATATTTGCGGTGGCGACATCTTTCTTGTATGAAGACACATTTTCCTCGGCCTCAGACTTGGCCACAAATAGTGCAACAGCCTCCTCTCGAGCACTTCGGAGAAGATCCTGGGTCGAGGCCAACTCTCCCCGAAAAAGGTCTCTCTCCGAGATCACGACCTCATTCTGCCTCTTTAGTTCGAGGATCTCCGCATCCTTGGCTGCTACCTCTTCCTGAAGCCGCCCCACCAGGACATCTCTTTGCCCAATCTGCAGAGGCGAATCAAGGTAGTGAGCATCAAGTTTTAAGAATAAAAAGATGAATTCATGGACGTCGTGTTACCTGCTCAGCAAGGCTAGCCCGTTCCTGGCGCACTCCCTCCAGGTTCGCCCGAAGCCCACTCAACTCCTCTCCCTTTCAGGCAGAGGAGGCCTTCGACTCCTTTAGCTCCGAGGTGAGAGCTTCTCGAGCTCCTTCCCACAGCATGAAAGCTCATCTTGAAGCTTAGAAAAGGCACGGTCATACAATTTCTGGGCCTACAACAAAAACAGAGAAGTTAGAAAGGCAAGGGTAAAAATTTGAAGCACAATCGGTATGTCAAGAGTATCACCAGTTTTTGAAGCTTCTCGGCCTCCTCGAGAGCAACGGGAGCATCGAGGTCCATGTCCTCGTCGACACCGACGAAGTAGTCCTTGAGCATATCTTTCTCTCCATAAGATGCCCCCACACCGGGAGTACCCGGGTCCTAGGCATCCCTAATCTCCCCCGGTGAAAATGAAGGGCCCAATTTAAAGCCTCCTAGGGCATCAATTTCTGTAAGGGTTTCGTCTCGATCCCGAGAAACTTCGGGTTCGGGCACTCTGGAATCGCCAGCCGAGGTTTCATCAGTGCGGACTGTACCATGTTCGACTAGAAGCTCGGGGACTGCGCCCGAACCCTCTTCGAGGGTCTCCTCAGCATGGGTTAGGTCCGCATCGGCCATCCCCGACTCGGCGACCTTGCGCCCAACTGCTTGTGGAGCATCAGCACTCCATCTCGCCCTTTGTACCAAAGGGCGGTCGCTGTCATCATCATCTTCACGAAGACTTGCCGCAACGGTCGAAGTCAAAACCGTGGCATTGGTCTTAGGCTTGCGGACCTTGGGTTTCTTCGATTCAGGAGACTCAGTCGACGCCTCCTTCTTCCTCTTTTTACCCTTGTCAGGTTTCGAGGTTTCTTCTTCGCCCAGAAGAGCCGGTCTCATCGACACGCCCTCCCCGAGGCCTACACTGGCATGATGTGTTAAACTCACCATCACAAAAAATACTCATAAGGAACTTGGTAATGACAACAATGAAAAGCATACTGTGGTTCTTGGCCTGCCACCGCATTTTTGCCAAATCACGCCAAACACGCTCGCCGTAAGGAAAAGTGGGGTCTAATTGTCTGATCCATCCCGGAAGGTTCTGAACCGCGCCGGGGTACCAAACAGTGGCTGCATAATCGAAAGAAGATCATTTCAAAGGGGAAAGAAGGAGCAACAAGATGTGCTCGAGGTAGGGATACTTACGCTTCATATTCCATTCCTCCGGAAATGGCATCCTATCAGCCGGGATGATGTCCAAGGTCTTTACTCTAACAAACCGGCTCATCCACCCCCGGTCCTTGTCCTCATCGATGCTCGAAAAGAACGTTTTCGCGAATCGAGGATGAAGCTTGATCAAACTGCGGAAAAGACAGGGGCTATACAATCTGACCAAGTGATCGAGGGTGAAGGTCATTCCCTCGACCTGGTTGGAGAAATATCGGAGCATGTAAACGATCCTCCAAAAAGAAGGATAGATTTGACCGAGTGTCACTGGGTACTCACGACAAAAATCAAGAATGACCGGATCTATCTTCGGGGAAGAAGGATCTACGGGACCTAGAGTGAATGGGTATGTATATACGCTGAGGAAGCAGTTTTGTTGTCTACTATGCTTTCCTCAGGATTGGGGATCTCTACTTGCACTGCCTCCCCCCATCGGCAGTCTTCCTTTACCCTCTTCGTGTCGGTCATCACGCTGATATACCGAGACACGGGCTCGCATCAGCCCGGTGTAGAAGGGGGATTTTCGAATTCGCCAGGGGTACATTGCTCGATAGTTGGAGGTATTTTTGGTTTGCCCTTGGACGGGCGTGACGAAGAAGTGGTGCCCTCTTTCTGAGGTACCGTTCTAGATGTTCTGGCCATAACTATAAAAAAGTTTCAAATAAAGAAGGTGAAGAAACGAGCACAGAAAGAAGATAGATGCAGAAAGTTATGGATTTAGCTCTAAAAACTTGGAGATATTGTAAAAAGCGTGAATGGCAAACGAATTGAAGTATTTATAGAAGCTATTTGGGCAATGCTTGAGGAGCGGAAAGGTCGAACCAATAGCGGTTCATGGGCTTTTCGATAATCGTGCTGACAACGACCTCAGCGCAGCCTTTGAGTCATGGAATTTAATGCTCTGATGGGCTGACGTCAAGGGAGTATCATAGAAGCAAGAGTTCAAGACCGTTTCTTATCATTTCACTCTATGAAACGCGGGGACTATCTATATACGGCTAAAATCGGAGAGTTCGATTTTATATTTAGTATGGCATTTCACAGCCCATTTTCGGAAGCCTCGAAGCGTAGCTCGAAGTTTGACCCCGGGGCTCGGGGCAGTACAGATCGGCGGCTATCTCGGACAAGCGGGAAATTCCCAATAGGGATGAGGTTAAAGCTGACCAGGTCTACAAGAATAGTACAAGTCCGTACCGTGACATTAAATGGCTGTACCAGCCGTTGGTCTTTGTAATAAATGGCTGTACCAGCTGCATATCTTTGTAATAAATGCACCTGTACTGTGTTGGGATTCCCCCTCCTATATAAAGGGGATCCTTGTCATTTTTTGCACACATGATATTGAATAGAAGAACAAGAACATTCTCTGCTCTCTAACTTTAATATATTCTCCCTTGATTTCATTGCTTACATTTATTACATTTATTGTGATTCATTGATTGTTCTTCATTTATTACTCATCATTGATCATAAAGAGCCCTCATCAAAGCTCTTAGAACTGTTAGTCCTTCATCGGCTATACACAGTCCAACGCTTTAGCTCGACCTGGAGGCCCCGTATAGGCTAGCTCAAGACCCCGACTCTCGGCCACTCGGTTTGCTTGTCACGCTATCTTCAAGCTCTTATCTTATTTTCTAGTCTCATACTTAGCATCTACTATCTAACAACTAGCATAAAAATAAATCACGTATTTTTAGAACCACAAAATCAAATCTAATTGTAATTACCATTTTCAAGGTAAACAGAGTTTAGAATTCTTCTCAGCTTTTATCATTATAATTTTCTCCTCAAGAGCAATTGCCTCGTGGATTCATCTCCTCATTTATTATATCTCTGACACTCGTATTTTATAGCTTAATCGAAACATAGGCTCTAAGTCTTAATCGAAAGACAATTAGATAACTAACTACATAATTAATGTAGGTATTATTTGAAGTACCTTCAAGTATCACACAAAATATTCCGTTATTTCTGTTCTGTTTGAACTCAAAGAAATGGAGGTCTCTAATTAGATTCTATTTAATCAACAACATAAAGAGATATCAGTAATGGGTATTGATCAAACTAGAATAATAATGAAAATATATTTGTATAGAATGGAAAAACGATGGAGTATTTGAATTCGAAGGTGAAAATACAACGTTACCAATTTCATCAAATGAGAATGATATTCAACAGTAAAAATAAAATAAATCATGCTCAAGAGAACTTGTTAAAGATAACATCAGTAGCCATGACTTGTGAATTTGGTTCACTTATCCCACCAAAACTTGCTTTTCTTTGTAGCTGGTTTCTCTTCTGTTTTTTTAATCTCCACAGACGAAGCTTCAGATTTTGGATCCTCGGGAGCTGATTTCTCTTCTATTTTCTTCTCTTCAGTGGCTGGTTTTTCATTTGCAGGAATAGTCTCTGTTTTTGGTTGTACTTCCTCAACTGTCTTTTCTGCAGGAGCTTCTTTCTCTTCATCTGCTTTATTCTCTGCAGGTGATGGAATACTCTCCAATGATGGTTTTACTACTTCCTCCACATCCAAGGTTTCTGATTTTACTTCCTCTATTTTCTTCTCATCAATAGAAGCAGCATCAGCTTTCGCAGTTTCATCGACAACTTTCTCAACTAATTCTAATTCTTTCTCGGCCTCCGCCGGTACTTCACTAGCCTTTTGCACTGATGTCTCTTCTTTCTCTTCTGCCAATCCCTTCCCCTCTTCATTCTGGAGCATTAATACGGTCAGATGTATCACAAACGGTGCATTAAATTATATAATATATTATTCATATCTACCATCCATTATATTATCGGGCCATATCTATCCATTGCTAACAAGAACTAACAGTGCCTTTCATGTCAAGGGTTATGGCAAGTCATAGCCAAGACAAGGTGGTATCCATCAATGCACAAAAATCACCTTTATCATGATCAGATCTCTTTATATATAGATCAAACAAAAGTAGTCTTAGGCATGAAAGGTTCACGTCTTCCATGTGGCATAAAGGAACTCCACAATCGAAATTTTATAGATCCGCTAGAAAATTATTGAAAAAAAAGAACCAATAGAAAGTCTTTATATAACTTTTTCAACATTTCATGTAACATATTTCAGAATCTTTCCGTTTTATTTTGTTAAAAAATGATTAATTATTTGTAATTAAAAACTCCGATACTTTAAATTTCTTATCTAGTATAACATATCCTATTTAAAACCAAAAGTTCTAATTGTTTGTTTCGTATGTATGTATTCTTAAACACCTCTACATAAATAAAATACAAAGAGTATACATTTTTGGTATTAAAGCAAGAACATAGGCACAGTAAGATACGAAGAGAAATAAAGAGAAACATATATAGATTGGGCATTGAAATATGAATACATACATTGAGCAAGTTATTGAGAGATCGGCATTTGTCGGCATCATCATCCACAATGACACCCTCCTCCTTCTTCACCTCTTCTTCAGCCGCAACCGTAACATCCTTGGCAGGGACATTTTCTGGTACGACTTCTGGGGCTTCACCATTCAACACTTTAGGCTTGCTAGCACAGGCACCCATTCTTTCCCTCTCTCCCCCTCTAAAGATGTTTTTTATTTTGCTCTGAGAGAGAGCTGAACCCAGAGAAGAGAGAGAAAGAGGAGAGGATGGTTAGATAGGGAGAGATCAGAGAGTGAGAGAGATGGTTTTATAGGGCAGGAAGCCAATGCATGCATTCATTGTCCCATTTCGCAGTTCTACGTTGGAGAGGAAATTTCTCTCAGCCAATGTTTTTCTTTTACTAAGCTTGTTTCTAATCTTAATTATTTTATATCCTTATTCTATATTAAAAAGTCATCAAATAATGTCATAAATGAGAATTATGTATTAGTGAAAAACAAACTCGCTACGTGAATTAATATCATAATGACATGTGTCATGGGAGTTATTACAACAAAGAAGAATGACGCATTCACAAGACGTAAACAACACCCTCGGGGTTATTCGCGTGTCTATTAGCTTTGGGGTTAAAGATAAGAGAATAGCCACGATACTGATGATTAAAGTCATTAATAGCTATAAATATGGAAATGATCAGTCAATCACGGATTACACACGATTTGATATTATTATCTCAACCGTTACAAATCAATCATGTATGGAAAATTAATGCAATAAATGACAGATAACATGCAGGAGCTCAACAAGGCAAATGGTTACAAATGATAGTACTATTTAAATACTCCTTTCATATTTTTTATCCCGTCAAATTCTACTAACTCATATTATCAATTATAGAATTCTCCTACTGTTCTTTATTATTGGAAGACTATTTCTTTCCTACTGGAAAAAAGTTTCAATCATCAATAAAATTTCCTTTATTCTCTCAATTTATTTCTTTATTATTATTTGTTCATTTCATGTTTCAATTATACGTGGAAAAGAATAAATCGGTTGTTAGAAATCCGACTTATTTTATTTTATTGCTTTGACTACAAGAAATTATTTTTTGGGCTAAACAGTTTGGTTCCTTACCGGGACTCTAACAATCGTTCAACTTTCTATTTATATGTCAATAAATTATGTTTGGAACTGACCAAATTACTCAGCAGGGGAATGTACAAGGGGTCTCCTCCAAGAAATTTACTTACACTTTAACGTTCACGTGATAACTCACCGGTCAGATCTGCTAGTCGCAGTATCGAGCAGCGAAATGAAGAACCATCTGATTTGTGGGATGAGTTGAAACAATTCATTGCTCAGCAAATTGGAGCGGTGTTGCGAGCCTTGACTGGTAGTGCACCAAGCAGTTCCAGTGCCACCGCCAGTTAACACAACCATAAAAAATCCCAATTCAGGACATGAATATTCAGGAAGTTGGGAAATTCCAAACAACTCTAGAGCAGGAGGTTAAGGTACGCTAAGTAATCCTGATTTACCAAATTTAGTTCTAACCTTGCAGAAATAGCTCAAGAAACAAAATAAATAGATAGAACAAATACCGAGTGTATCACCAGCTATTAAAGATGTGGATACGGAAAACTATTCACAACAATCATGGAAACCTAGCGCAACACCATTGCCTATACTTAAATAATTCAAGATGCCGAATATTCCCAAATACGATGGAACCCTGATCCGCGAGATCATGTGACCTTATTTTTCGCAGGAGTCAAAGGCAATGATTTGACTAAGCAAAAAATATAGTTGGTGCTGATGAAAAAATTCGGTGAAACTCTTACAAAAGAGACATTAACATGGTATTCTCTTTTACTTAATAATTCAATTGACTCTTTTACTAAGCTTGAAGATTCATTTATTAAAGAATATTCAGGAGCCCAATAAGTAAAGAAACGAATGCAGGACATCATTAAAATACAACAATGAAGCACAAAATTACTCAAAGAAGTCGTGGACCACTACCAGTGAGAAAGAATATTGCTACCTCTTGTACCTGATAATTGGACAGTAATAGGTTTGCAAGAAACTTGAATGAAAGAAGTTCAGAATCTATGAGAAGGTTGAACAAAAGTTTACAAGAATTCTCACCAACCACTTGAAATGATGTCTACAACAGGTAAAACACGAAACTTCGAATAGAGGACGAGACGGTGGCTCAACCAAAGGTGGAAGATGGGTTCGGGACAAGAGGATCAAAGTCAGAGCAACAAAATGCGAAAAATAGGTATGAGCCCTATACTGGACATGCGAAGAGAGATCACAAACTAGAACAAGCATGATTTGACCAAAGGTCAAGGTGAGAGAGATAAGTTCTTCTTCACGAGCTGAAAAGGAGCGGGAAGTAACGAGATATAACGACCAGAGTCCCAGACTAAAACTAGCAGATTACCATTTTAATGTAAGTACTTCTGAATTAGTAGCAATATTAAGAAGTATGAGAGATAAGTAACGGTGGCCAAGAGAGATGAGGTCAGGCCTAAGTAAAAAAGTCAAGAGTTTTGGTGCGATTATGTAATGATCATGGGCATAGAACGGCGAATTGTAAGCTTCTACAAGGAGAAGTTGATTACTTATTGAAGAACGGTTACCTTACTGATATTATCACGACCCAAAATTCAGCTAGTGGTGATGGCACCTACCCCAACTCGTTAGGTAACCCAAGTAATAGTCAACACAACTCAAATGTGAATAATAAAAGTAAATGAATAAAATAACTGAATTTCTATACAATTTCCCAAGGATTGGTAGTACAAGTCATGAGCTTCTAAGATTTAGATTTTATAAAGTTGGTACGAAATAAATACATCATTTGTTCGAAATATACATAAATAGATTTGTAAATCTAAAGCTACCAAGGAGAAATGACAGCTATAATCGGAACGCGGGTACATCTTCAATGCCAGTTCTCACCATAAATAGCAACATCAGTTCTAAAATCTACACGTAAGGTGTAGAAGTATAGTATGAGTATAACCGACCCCATGTACTCAATAAAGTAACAAACCTAACCTCAGGTTGAAAGTAGTGACGAGCTTGGAAGAAGGTCAAAGTCCAACACCAATACCCAAAAATAACTCATGATGATATAAAGAGACAATAAAGGTGAATAACTCAAGAGATATATGCTCAGCTCGTTCATAGTTACGGGACAGTAGGCATGCTTTCCAAGTAAAACAATCAATTCCAAATCCTACCACTGAAAAACAACTAAACACAAGTTTATCAAAGAATTGTATTCCAAATTCACAATACCAGATAAGAATTTTTCGTTTACCAATTAGCATGAGAAAAGTTGTCACGACCCCATATTCTCACCTTAGGATGTCGTGATGGAACCTAGTATCTAAGACTAGGTAAGCCTAACATTCAAGAAAATATGACAGAAATAAAGACTGAAAACATGATATAAACTAATAACTCTCATAAAATTTTCAATACTGAATCACAACTACAATACTCCTAAAACCCGGTGAAAACTAAGTCATAAGCTCTACAGAAAGTACTAAAAGCAAAATATACATTACTGTCTGAATAGAGGATAAACAGTAATTAGAGAATGTCGGAAGGTGACCCTGAGGCTTGCGAGCGTCGCCGGTATACCTTGAAGTCTTCGAAAATAGCTGAATGATCACTAGCGCCCGGCTCGAGCAGATATAGCTGGATCTGCACAAAAATATGCAGAAGTATAATATGAGTACACCACAACGGTACCCAGTAAGTATCAATCCTAACCTCGGTAGAGTAGTGACGAGACCAGGTCAAGACACCTACTAGGATAAGATAAACTGAACAGAGTATAATAAATACCAATAACAGAGAATGACAAAATGAATGATAACAAAGAAGTATAATAATGTAGGCTAATAACAGAATTTAAGGCAAGAAAGGCAACGAGAAGTGAACACATAATGAGAACAACAAGTAATCAAATACGGACAAATACAAGTAAGACAATGAAGGCAACAACAAGTAGTACTGTTCAACCAACAAGCCTCTTTAATCATGGAATGTACAACAAAAATCACAACCGAGGTACCACCATGCATATTCATATTTCATAATTTCAATCGCAATCTTTCCTTATATCACTACGTGAGCCTTGCATTTATTTTTTTTAGACATTTTTTCCGAAATAGATACACGCGTTTTAGCCCCTTTATCTCATCGCGTGGCTTCAAGTAATTCACTTACTAGCAACATGCGTATCAATATCACAATACAATAAACAACTCACACCATATGTGCCCATATGCCACAACACTTGCCAAAATCAATAATGCCAATGTTACCACAACGATAGCCCACGGCTCAATCACAATGTATACAAGAATCTCTATAACAATAAAATAAATGAGGGAATACTCAACAAGGAAATATATCTCAACAATTAACAACTTCAATCTCAATATGGTAATGGCTTCCACAACTTCAATATCAATAACCCAACAAGAAGATATTCCACGAAATAACAACTTCAAGTAAGTGTAATTTAACAATAAAGGAGTAACAAGACAATAAGAGAGGTAGTAACTTCTACTAAAGCATATAAGAGCAATTACAACAATAAAGGATCGAACAAATAATAACAACGTCAATTAGAGCATGTGAGAGGAAATTTAACAATGAAAGATGTAATATGCTATAACAAGTCTAATTAAATCCATGGAAGAAGTCTAAAAGTCTAAACCGGTCAAAATACCACATATAGCCCGCGTACATAATCGTCACCTCGTGTACACGTCTTTTACATAGTACAATTAATACAAACAACCCAAATCCTAAGGGGTAGTTCCCCTACACAAAGTTAGGCAAGATACTCACCTCAACTAGGCCAAATCAACCCTCGAAAATAGTTTTTTTCCAAAAATTCTCCTCAACATGGCTCAAATCTAAGCAAAAATGACATAATATCATCAAACAATGCAAGGGAAACCAATTACAATTGATAAAGCTTTGATCATTACACAGTTTCCCAAAAGACAACAAAAGTAAGCCCCCGGGCCCGCCCGGTCATAACACGGGTCTAAGGGTAGATTCCAACTATCCATCACCCCACGAGTCCATATATGTGTTTGGTTTTCAAATCCGAGTCCAAATCGACTCTCAAAACTCAAAATCTTCATTTTTCAAAATTTTGACAAAAATCAACAATTTTCCTCTTTGATTCTCATAAATTTAATGTTACATCTAAGATATAAACATGAATTATAGTTGAAATTGATTA